GTGCCACTGACAATGACACAATCGCCTGAAATGTCACAGCTACGTCTCAAGTTTTATTATCCCTGCCACTCTGAACAACACAAAGGGATCATACTTGCAGTGGCATACTCAGCTGCTATATATGTGTTCAAAAACTTAGACACATTGCACACCTCCCCACTCTGTGCTACTTTCCACTTGAAGAAAATTTTAAACTCAAATCTTTAAAACAGTCTATGTCCTAGGGCAGTATTTAAAAAAACAACTTTCAATACTGGGACTGTCACACATATCCCTGCCTCACACTCCATGGAAAGGAGGCATTTGTAATTTCCCAGTACAAAAATGAGATCATGGCAAGGTAGGAAAAGTCCTGAACTAAACACTATCAAGACCCTGCTCTGCACTCAGAGTCCTCCCATTTGGAGTGAGGAAACAGAAAACCACCTGTAACAAAAGCATTGATTTTCAGTAGAGGGTGTTGTGGCAATAACGGTCAGAAAATAATATGAGCACCACCAAAGAGAAGGCAATGATGCTGCCTATCAGGATTAACAGTGCAGATGCTCCCACAGATAGTGGGCAGCATCCTGTTTGGCATAGCTCAATCCCATTTGAAGAGTATGGTGAACCATCTGCATTAATACAGCTAACACTTCTTGGAAAACACCACCAGATCTGTAGAAATCTTGGTGACTCTTCACTGTCCCCCTGCACTGACATAGCCCTGCATTACTAGGCATCAAGGTAACTCAGTCTAATCATCAAAATGACAAGTGAAGAAAGAGAAGGAGAGACTTCTGCCTTCTCAGGTTTGCTCCCCCATCTCTGCTGGGGATTCCTTTGCTGCAAACAGCCTGAGTATTATTGCCATTTACGGCAGCAATCACTCTGTCCCCTCCTCTCCCACAAACCTAGTGCTGATATTAGCACTGATCACACTAACAAGCCTTTGGGTTTTATTACTACTGATACTAATAATACTGGACACATTACGTCTGCTCCCACCAATAACAGGCTGCAGATATGATCCCTGCTAATGCCGATAATACTGGGGGATATTATCTCTGCCATTGTCGGCACTGCAGATAATATTGGCAGTAATGCTGTCAAATACTACAGATACTGTCAAGGAACAAGATTAATAATGCTGAGAATGTTACAGCACCAACCTTACTGGAAGATGAATCCCAAATGAGAATTTGGGTTTAGACAGGAAGTCTGTTTGCAGCCTAATATGGAAAGAAAGGGCCATGCCTCATAAGAATGGTTTTGTAAAAATTGCCAAAGTTTCACCCAGTTGAAGATGCTGTGATACACTGGCAGCAGCTTGATATACTCTTTCCCTGTTATCTAATTATCTATGTCTGTCTGTCTGTCTGTCTATCTATCTATCTATCTATTTATCTATCTAATCTATCTGTCTTTTGCTTTCTCTGCATTTCTCCTTTTTTCTCCTTGTACGTGCTCAAGACTACAATATGAGTGATACAACATTTTTGTTAGTGCCTCTGGGCCACCTCAGTTCTCATTCTTTTAGCTGTCAATTAAGGGGTTATGAAACAGCAGAAATAGTTGCATATTTTTCCCCTTTGTCCTTCTGGACGTTATATTGCAGCTTCTTAGCCTGGCAATGATCCTGCTGAGCATGGTTGGCCTGCCCTCAGAGAGTACTACAACACTCAAACCATAAAGAGACAGGAATTCATGTTTTCTGATGCAACTTGATAGTGTAAGACCCTCACTGGTCTAGAGAAAGTCATGATGTGCTGCAGGGTCACCTCTGCCTTTGGAAGATGGTGGGTGTAAGGTCGGAGGGAAGTTGCAGCTCCGCTGGCAATGCCCACAGACCACACAGGATGCCACACACTGTGCTATACAAATGGTGGTGAACTTTTTTAGTCAAATTATTTTCAAAATCACAGGAGACCAACTCTATCTATCACAGAAGTCAGAAGTTTTGTGACTGGTTATAAACTGAAACAAAAAGATAATGTGGTCTTAACAAGGCAAATCCTGACCATCCATTCTTGGCATTCACCTGAGGAAGACACACTGAGTTTTGAGACTCGTGGCCAGACAGTTCCTTGTTGTGACTAGTAGACACTCAGAGCTGTTTTCCGAGCTAGCTCTCTCTCAATGTCATACATTTCCCAGGCCACCCCTGCACTTGCAACCAGTGTATTTGGTAGGTTGGGATTCCCACTCTTCCCTCTAACTCCCTGAGAGGGACACACCTGGCTGTCAGCGTCCATCTCTGAGCCCACCTCATGCATCTGTCTGGCTCCTTCTGTCCAACTCGGGAGTTCTGCTACATCATCTTGACACATAATTATCTCTCCTCTTCTTAATCATCTGTGCTACTGCCTAATGTAGGCACCAGCTGCAGCAAGGAGGACCTGGGGGAGGGGGTGTGCTCACATAGAAGCTTCTCTGTCTTTCTCCCACCCTGTTCCCCCCAGCCGTCACAGAGGTTGCTAACAAGGTTTTCAGAACTGGTGATTCAGGAATAGCTTGGTACTTCCCCTTTCTGCTGAACTGCATTCCTCACAGAGGAATCCTTGCAGCAGAGCTGGTCCAACAGAGCGGAAAGAAAGAGAGAGTAGTGCTGCATTTTCTGCCTCCTTTAGGGAAGAACCACTCCCTAAATGCTTGGAAAGTAGATGTGCAGAGCTCACAAGGGCTTTTCAACGTGAGAACAAAACCTGAAGTTAAGAAAGAAACTGCAACAAAGTGTTCAGAAGCTCTGGGAAATATTGTGAAGGTGTAGGCATCCATCATGAACTTGAAAGAAATACATTATATCTCCCGACAAACTTTTCCTACTCCCCATCTCAACTAAAAACAACCAGAATGTTCAGAGCTACAGGGGACACTGCCCAGGAATGGGTGCAGGTCGCTTGGCTTTGCAAATCTTCCCCTTGGACCCTTCTAACTTTAGGACCCAGTCCTGCAAAGGGATGATATTTCTCAGCATTTCTGAAGGCCAGATAATTCAACCCATGGTTAGAGATGTTCAGCAGCCAGCTGGGGGTCCCATGTGAGCTTTCTCCAGGTCAGGAGCACAATGTGTCCCTGCAGCAGATATCTGGGATGGCAGGATTAAGGCTGTTATCTAAGGCAGTTGCAACCATGTCATGTGACTGCCACCTAAAACTCTGAGAGCTAAAGACAAGCAACATTTGCAGGATTGTCTGGTTGGTACCTTTTTGATTCCTAGTGGGATATGTGGGTGCTCGGCCAACAGCAAGCAGCTGCACAGTGTCACTTGCCTAAATCAAATCTGGAGTGAATTAAGGAGAGACACAAAGAATAGTTTTGTCAATATATCATTGTGAAGTGTCAGTCTTAGACGGCTGCTCTGCTGTTTCTGTGTTTAATTGTGCTGTTCCAAAGAAAGCTCAAGTTCTGAGGCTGGAAGTGACTGTATGGCTGCATCTAAAGTGGAATGATCTTTCCAGGTATAGCCTGAATACCTGGCTAAAGCCAGATTGAAGAGCTTCATTTCTAATGAGATGTGGAGGCACCATGTTGAGAGCTGGTGATCACCATGTTGGACTGTATGAGAACAGGGAGTCACAAAACCCCCAGATAACTGCCAGGAGATCTGCACGACCATTAGAGAAAGGTGCCATTCAGTTTGAAATGTCACTATTTCCTGTATATGTAATGATGGCAAATGTTGGAAAGGTTTGCAATATTTGCCTCTTATTCCTGACATTTTTTGACTTTGAGGCATTGACTCAGCCCTTCCACTGCTACACTTTTCTCTTAGCTGGGCCCTACTGCCATCTAGCTGGGAAATGGATCTTCCTCTGGGGCCCGATCCAATTTCCAATGACATCAGCAAAAATCTTCCCATTTGCTTTAACAGAAGCTGGATTGGGTCCTTGCATCTAGTTTTCCTTTGTACTAGGGAGAAATGGGTGAATATTGGATCAAAAACTTACAGATGTGAACCTCACCAGAACCAATGCTGAGAAAACTACTAGCAAAACCTCAAAATGCAGCCTCTGTCTCAGGAGACCTTTCTCTTCTCACCAGACACCACAGAGAACTCTCGTGTTCTCTTGCACTGCACAGCCCTGGGATTACAGCACACACAGCACACTGAGCCACCTGTCCTAAGAGGTCTTTCCATGCAACAAGCAACACAACATACTGAAGTCAGAGCTGAACCCAACAAGCTGGTCAGTCAGTATTCTTTAAAAAGTTCACCTCCTGGCCCTCAATTTTAGACCAAATCAAATTAAAAGAGACAGATTTAAGGAAAAGTGTTTGAAAGCCACCACAAGAGCACCAAGACCTTACCCACATCTCCTGACTCAGTCTATTTAGACCTGAGGCTCCAGCTTTTGATTCATTTCAGGATCTTTGCCCTGAATACTTCCCAGTAAGTAGGAAGCCAAAGGAGATAGCTTAATCCTATTTCCTTACAGCCTTAGTGAAAGGCTTAGAAACAACCTTAGGATCACAGTACTCCTGTTCTGCTTTCAGACTATTGCAAACATGATAGTTCTGTTGTGGTAGATGCTACTCATTGAAAACTGGGCCCTTGTGATCAGCAGCTAATGTAGCTCGTGGCACATCACAGGGCAGGAACTTGTTTACAAGGGGAATGAAAGACAGCTCCCACATTGCTGGTGCTTCTCCAAGATAGCATTTAGTTTGAAATTGAGTGAGTCAGGGAAACCATGTTTACCCACAGTTCAAAGTCCGGGCACCTGCTGGCACCTGGGGAGTTCAGTTCCAGCCGTTTCCAGCAGTGAATGAACTTGGGATCAGCTCCAGCAATGGAGACGGCTCTCTGCCTGCTGAGCAGATGTCTGGAGACGCAGCCTGTCATGAAAGGGCCTCGGAAGAAGAGCATTCCAAGCCAGCAGAGCAGTGGCGGGGAACTGGTCTCTGTTGCTAAAACTGATCTAGCCCCTGGAGCAGCTGCAAACCTTGGCCTGAAATTGGAGCCTGTACATGGGGACAAAGAATATAAAAGGGAGGATGAGCTTCTCCCCTCCCCCTACCTTCATCACGTTTCCTCTTCTCGCCATTCGACCGAGGAATCCCCAGGATCCCGTTAATGGAGTAAGAGCCCACTGGATCATTGGAGGCACTGGAGACAGGAGGGGATGCTGTGCTGGGCACTGGACGAAAGGAAAAGGGAAAAAGGGCCATCAGGAGAGCAGCACAGCACTCAGGGATCCCCAGCTGAAAGCTATGCATGCCACTAGTCTAATAGGAAAACCTGGGCACTAAGCAGATTCCCAGTCCCTCCTGCAGAAGGACTTTACTGTATCCCAGCAAAGTTGCATCCCAGCTTTCCTTGTCCACTTCTATACTGTAGCTTCACAGCCTCCCAGTACAGGGCCATTGATAACACATAAGTGTATTCCATCAAGAAGTTAAATGTTACATCCCCGTTCAGAGCAGGCTTTCAAGATAATCGAGTGAAGTGCTGCATTGGCCACATTCTCTAGTGACTTCATAGTCCATCCATATTTTACCAGATCATTTCCTCGCAGGAGTGCACATGTTCTATCAGGCAGACTAGCCTCTTACATGCCCACCCAAAACACTTAATGAAAAATTACCTTCTTATCATAGGTTAGAAGCACTTCAGTGCTGGACTAATAAATTCAGTTCTCTACTGGAATGACGGGTTGGTGATACATGCTACCATCACTGATGAATGAAAATCTAGTGCCTTCCTTTTGTACTGACCAATATCAACAGGCAGAATGCTCTGGCCACTTGCCTGTCCAAGATTGCTGATGAATTTCCAGTATATCAAAAGTGACAAGTACCCAGATTAGAAATGATCTCTTCATAATAATCAGGCCTTTAGAAAGTAGAACAGGTAGACCTATGCATCCAACAGGCATACCTATTGTGTCCCAGCATGTCCCAGTAATGGAGAGACTATCCCAGTTCTCTTACAGGCCACTATTCATAATGCAGCTCATAAAGCACTGACCTGAAGCAATCAATATGTCCAACACAAGTCTTTCAGGATGGAGCAGAACCTTTGAACACTCTCCAATGTAGACCCACACTTCCTAGTACATCCCAGAGCAATCCCAGAGCTCCACTAGAAGCACTCACAGTCACTATCCCAGCTCAGCCACTGCATTCCCTAGACATTGCACTACTGTTCCAAGAAGGAATATTTGCCAGCTCCATCTGTGGTGGTCAGTGATTGCCAGTCCAGTGAGCAAGTCCATATTAAAAGGGCATCCAGAAATGCTCTTCCACATTGGCCCACTGCACTCCTGAATACAGTTTGTGTACAGGATTATATCTACCAGCTCTGTCCCATGTAGATGAGCATTTTCTGGTAAATCCTCATGTAGCAGCAGATGCTCAGTAACCAACAGAATCTAAGAAAGTCTTAGTCCACAAATAAGCCACTGTGTAAAACACAGAGTACTGTGTTTTTCCTGCTCTAGTTTGTCACTAGATAAAGCTATGCCAGCAAGAGCAGACATATCCACCACACAGACCACAGATTAAAAAGTATCCCATCACACATCTGTAACACAGTACCTTTAAACAGACTAGGAGGCATTTGGTCACTGTATTAGAGCCTCCATCTTCTGTTCACCTCAACAAACCAGCAAAAGATGTCCCCAGCAAAAAAAAAAATAAAATTTCTCAGTGAAATACACCCATGGGACACCTGACTGTAGAGCTATGACAATGAAGAACTTAGTTGTGAGGCAGCTGGAACATCTTACTCATGTTTGTGTGTTACTAGCACTAAGAAATGGACCAGTTCCAGCAAAGGGGGAGGAGAGATGAAAAATTGGTAGGGGGGAAAAAAGAGAGCCATAGGACAAGAGAAAAGGTGAAGATTGACACTTCGACAAGGACAGCAGTAAATACTTCTCTATAGAGAGATTAAGGAGAGAGCATGAATGTGAAATGAATGCTAAGGCAGAATTACTTGGGCAAGCCCCTATTTTGGGCTACTTTCTGTGTGATTCACTTCTCTGTAATGCAACAAAGAATAGAAAACTCAGATTTCCACGGAGGCTTCTTTTCCCCCACTCCCTCCTCCCTTTTGCTCTGCTTAGCATCTGCTTGTCAGACTTTGTTCCCTCAACTAAGCTTCATCCCCATTTCCACTTGACCTGTCACCACCCCTCATGTCGGTCTACTTACCAATAGTATGTCCTGGTGCAGTCACACCTGTCCCACTCCCATCTGGTGTTGGGTGAAAAGGTTGCTGAACTTTGGTTCTGATGATCCTGGAAAAGCGTGAAACACATTCAGAACTCAAATGCACCTTCTCTGTGCCTTTGCAGAGCCACAGTCCCAGCTCTCAGAACCTGAAGGTTTGATTTGAGCTCTCGGTGCAGCAGAGTGGCTTCATTTGCCTTGTGATCCTGATTCTACTGCTTTAATGGTCCAGCTCTCAGAGAATCCTCCTATTTCTGCTCTGTTGTCGTTATCCCAAGCTTGGGTGTTCTCTGCATAAGGATGGTGTTCAGTGAGCAAGCTAGGATGTCCTGTGTGTTAACAGCTGCATTGTCATTTATGGTTTGATCTGTGAGTATAATCACAATGCAGTCTTTGCAGCTAATAGAGACATTGCTGAATTTACAAATTGTGCAGTTTTAATTTTGTTGTCTACCTGAAAAATACCCTTCTGACTAAATGCTTTGTACTGTGGAAGGCTTGCCCAAAGCCCTTGCCCTTCATAAATGAGGTGAAAGCAGAAGGCATCTGTAGGGAGTGGTGATGTGATATAGATCACCAGGAAAAAAGGTCCATCAAACAGGGCAAAAATTGGTGTTTGTCAGGTGGTGAATGAACACCATATGGGAACTCAAAAAGACATCACCAAGCTTATAATGTAGCTCAGAATGACAATAAACTGAACTGTAATTGTCAGTGCTCCGTTTCTTGTTACATGAAATCTTTCACCTCTAGGTCACTGGTTTAAATCCAGCTGAGGTCAGTGGTGAAAGAAAATCACTAGTGCCTAGTACCTGACTGGCAAAGTCCCTGACTACTGGCAGATAGTGGGTATCTGTGAGCTGGGAACAGCTGTTCCACCAAGGAACTTGGTTAATAAGCCACGACCTGTGAAGGCCATGGAAACCAACTTTCTTTCTGAGATCAGAACAAGCCTCTCCTCTCTTCAGCCACTCCAGTTACGGTGCAGGCTGCAGATTCTTTTCAGCCTGAGCTTCTGGAACTCTTAGCCCTGCATTATATTAGCTTTATTTTCTACCCAAGAATCTCTCCAGAAAGTGAAAGCAAATAGAAGATTCTTCCTGCCCACTTGAGAGCTTCCCTTAAAAATTTGTTCTAAAGGTTAAGTTGGCAAAGCTTCAAAGAGCAAATGTGTGTCTAGTGGGTGATATGGCATGGATGGAGAAAGGCAGAGACTTTGTGAGGGCAATTTTTAAAAACCATAACTTCCAAGAGGGGAGCCTTCTTAGGAAAAGAAAGAGAACATCTCACCTCAGCATGTTAGAAAACTCTGCTACGTGCTTGATAAAGCCTCACCAGTAGCTGGAGTGCCTGGGACATAGCTGGAGAGAATGTCAAGGTTCTAGCTGAGGATGGAGAGCCAGATCCTCACTCCATATAGATTAGTGGTACCACATGCCCTAATCCATAGTTGCTGAAAACCTATACAAAAAGTGTCTGAAGGCCGCAAGGCCAGATTCTGAGGTCATACTATTTGTACTAGGTGAAGAGCTGATCTGAAAAGTGTGTTATAGCAAATTATATAACTTTTTTCTTCTTTTTCTGTTTTTTTTTTTTTTTTTTCTCTTTTCTCCCCTCTTGTCTCACATTCCCCCTAAAACCCCCTGAAGTGCCACTCTGGTTGTGTGAGTTTATTGATTTCCCCCAGCCCAGAGAAACAGAAAAAGGGGATGGGGTGCAGGCAAAGGGATGGAAATAGAAAGCTATAAATTATTTGTGACAGGAAAGCAATAGTGCCAGAGTGCTGAGCACAAGTCCCGTGTCACTATTAGATTCCTTTTAGCCTGATGACACTGTAAAAGAGGTTAAGTGTCTGATGGAATCGTACACCTTGGGGGCAGGGGCAGTCCAGGAGCAGAACAAGCCACAGAGAGCGGGTATATCAATTCTCCACGCCAATAATATTCCCCTCATTGATCGCAACACAAAGTTCAAAAATCTCATTATAGCTAGGCAGTCCCGGAACTTTTTTAAAATCAATAGAGTGATATAATATATGTATACTTTGTATAAATGTTTCTATCCATCCATCTATCCGTCTATCCAAAATCTGCCTGAGGGTGTCTAAGTTAACCTACACATTATACTGTGTTATGTTCTATTGTAGTGTAGCATAGTGAATGGATTAGAAGATTTCCCCTGCAGCCTTAGATGACATATTATAAAACGTCCTGTTAGCACTGAGGTGACATCAGACGGTTCCATTCATACTGAGATATGACATCAGATTTACCATTTGTTCTGGGAGTTGGCACCAGACAGCTCAGCTTCTACTGAGGGGAACCATAAGATGAGTCTAATTATACTGAGATGGCAGATCAGGCTGTGCTGAATCATGCTGCATGAAAATTGCAAAGTTTCAAAAACCCATTGAGAGTAAAAACAGCCTGTGAAATGCTGCAGGTATAAAAAGCCTGTCCATAATATTCCAAAACCCAGGCAGGAGATGAAGAGGAAGGTTCAGTTTCCTTCCCCATTCAGTTTAAGGTCTCTTGGCTGAGAGCACCAGTTAGTGCCAGTTGTGACTCTGTTTACTGAGATGTGTCCATTAGGAACTGGAATGAGACTCACCAGCTCATTGCACCAAGTAGCTGTCAGCTGGTAATGATTTTCGGTCACTACCAAGCAGGGCCAGATTTCTGCTAGTGACCCAGAGGTGAAAGGCTCTGTTCAAAAACATTCCCTTCCTAGGAAAGAAGCTGGTTTTATGTCAAAAAAAGTGTCCAGAAGCCATGAGCAGAGGGGAACAGTTCTGGTTGTGCAGCCTCCAGTGGCTTGGGTCAAATAATTTTTGGCATTGAATGCACAGTGAACCTAATGAGGTATTTGGTAGAACATATTTTCTATTGCTAAAAGAAGAGGCAGGTCTTCTTTCCCCAGCAGTGTTCCTTTGCCCTAAAGTTATGACTGAACTCCATTGTTTTAGGGAAAGGGGAAATTTCAGGATCCTAATGCCCAGTGCAGAGCGCGGCAGTGCACCCCCCTGGGTCGATTCACTTAGGGACAGTGACAAACAGCAGAACAGCTAGGCAGCACTGCTGCTGCTTTGAGAGGCTTCAAGTGAGTCTGTCCTACACGAGACCACCTAATGAAACAGCAGATGAAAAATGAACAGAGCTGACCTGGCCCCATAGCAACAAATGCAGCATAATAATGCTGTCTTTAAACTTCAGTGTCACTGAAAGCTTCTCACCCTTAGCAGGGATTGAAATGTGCACTAAGCCAGCTCTGCTGCCTCAAATCTAGGATTTCTGGATTACTGCTCTATAAGAGGTCACAAAACCTCGATCACTTCTTGCTGTCTTTGATGGCTTGTTCATGTCTTCAGACAGTAGAGAAAGACAAGTCTTGCAGGTTACATCCTCACCCCTTCCCAAAAGCAGGTGGGACACAAGTCCCGGCACATCAGTTAGCAGTGTTGATTTCTTGAGATAAGTACCAGTGTTTTCAAACACCTTTTTCCAAGAGAAATTGACCCTTTGGGCTAAATTCATTCCTACTCTAATTCTATCACAATCAGTGACTCCAATAATAGCATTTGTATTTAATTAGGAATATAAACTTGTACTTCCTGTAAATTCCCATTTTTCATTTTCCAGTGGGAGATTTTTGCACAAGTTGACTATTTTGAGTTTTGGATAATATAAACAGATTTAATACATAACCTTCTGAAGTTTCAGCAACAGGACATTTATAGATCTTTGATTGCAGTAAAGCAACTGAACTTCATTTCACAATCTGAATTTAATATGCAATATTATGTTAAGTGATGGCATATAATGTCATTACAGTAAATAGTATCATACTGTGAATTATACATCCATCCTGGAATTCATGAGTTGCCATAGTTGTCTTGTAGTAAGTCCTTCTAGACTTAATATTACATACAGCACCAGCTGTAACCAATTGCTTATTTCCAAATGCCTTTGACTTTCTTAAATGTTCAATATTAGATCATAAATTTCCAATGTTTGATTTCTATTTCATTATTTTTGTCAGCTTTAGTGAAATTCCTTTTCCTGATTCCGAGTACAGATGGGCAGACAAAAATCTTCTTTTCTTGTATTACAATTGTAACAAGCTCTAATCAAGAGACATAACAAGAAATATTAGCAGTTATAATTAGCTGAGCCAGAGTGCTTTCTGAGAAGAACTTTCACTCCTTGTAAATAAGCAAGCAGAAAATCACTTCTAAACTTGCCTAGAAATTACTTGCTAAAAGAATGACAGATCATAGAAAATTCACCTTGCTTCTCTGACATTTCTATCCAAGCTCTCTTATAGCCTAACATACTCTGTGGTTTCTTTTCTCTTACTATGGCTGGCAGAGTGTTTTGACAGTATCTCAAATAAAAAAAAACATACTAGGGCTGATAAGAGGGAGATACGGTAGGACCGAATAATCTGGAGTCGCAATCTAGCAATTCTTTTAATCCTGGAAAAACAGAGTGAAGTTCAACTGAAGGAAAGATTGGTGTGTCCTGCTGCCTCAAGAAGACCCTGACAGATTTCAGAAAGCACCGGTATCCTCACTTTGATCACATTCCTTTGTCGTGGATTACTTTTGAGAGCGGAAGAATACATACAGCCGAGCACCAAACTCCTTGTAATTGTTTTGGAGTATTCATATTTTAAATGCTTCATATTAGAAGCACATTACAAGACCCCAGGGTGTGCATTACTGGGCAATTAAAGCAGTTCTTGGAAGGCTAACATTGCGAAGCTTCAGCCTTTTCTCTGTGCTGTGTCCAGGGCAGGCTGTGATGGCCAAGGCGCACACCCTGCAGTGCCGCCCCGTTAATTGGTGCAGGGCAGCCCGCAGAACACACAGAGCAGGGCTAAGGGAGACGGTGAAGCCTTCTCTGCATCTGATGGCTTCCTACAAAAGGGCTTGTGACCATCCCAGAGGTGCTGGCAAAGAGGAACAACATGGGATGAGAAGAGGCAGCTTTGGGGTCTTTGGTGAAAGCCCTCGTGGAGCCAGCAATATCCCACCTGCAGATTGGTGCTGCGGAGGCATAAAGAGCTCTGAAAGTGGCTTCTGTTCAAACAGGAGACAGTCCTGTGTTTCTGTCACAGGTTGAAACACAGCTGAATTCACGGTTGAGCAAAAGAAGGGGGGAGGGAAAATCTTGCTTTCCCAAAGTTCAGAATGGAAAGCGAGCTTTGTAACACGGTGAGAAAAAACAGCCAAGGGATTTGGGGGTGAAGGAAGGGAAATAAAAAGTCTGATAGTTAGAGCCTAATCCGATTTAGGGAAGGGCTTCAGTTCTTGCTCTGTCATGGACCTCTCTCATCAAGAGTTTGGACAAATGGCATTTCTCTCTGTGCTCTGTTTCCTGCCTGAAGTGTGAAGATAGGAGCATTGCTGTGCCACCTGGGGCACAGTGAGGACAGCTGGAAGGAGGAGTGAAGGGCTCAGACTCTCTAATAAACAGGGGCCAAGGAAGTGCTTCAGCGAGCTGTAGCACAGTATTGGCTTCGTTCTCCTGCTTGAAGCAGAAGTGACATGTACCCTGCTGACAGTGGCTGTATGTGAAGGGAAATGGGCAAAGGCAACAGGAATTGTATTTCAGCTGCACAGGCTTTGGTAGTGGTGTTTGAATTTGCAACAGCAGCTGTAATTGGGAAGAACAGAGCTGCAGTTGCTACATAAAAGCCACAACATAATTTCTTATAGGAAGTAGGGTGGGAGCAGTAGAAGCTACTGCTCTCAAAATCTACTGCAACACTTAGAACCTTCAGAAAAATAGCTGACATTGGCAGGAGCAGCTTCCTCACTAGCTGGCCTGGGGCTCTGGCTCTCCCTGCCAAGACGGCAGAATGCCTTCAAACCCTGCCATATTTAGGGGCCACAAGCAATATTCACACATTCAAACTTGCTTCTGTCATGAAAATAGCATTTTATTCTCCCTACCTTTTGGAAAAGGAGAGAGGAGTGATCATGTATTATGTTAATATATAAGCAGAAGTATGATAGATTAATTAGAGTGATTAGATTGGTAGTCCTAAAAGGTGCATGAAGAGACATTATCTGTTTTCCCAAAGCTTCCAAATAGATGAGAGGTCAAAATGGAGAGCCTTACATATCTCAGAACATAATCCCAGCCCTGTCTGAGGAGAATTGACTCTGCATCTGCTGTTAATCTGTGTAGGTCCATCAATTTCACTGGGGCTAGACTGATATCATGCCTACAGACATGGGGAAAAAGTGTCACTTTGTTCCAGGTTAGCCTGCTCACTAGGAGCACGAGAGAAAGCCCAATCCTGCCCATTTCTCTCACTGCATTTCTTGACTGCACTCTAAGAAGACACACAATTCACAGCATCAGTTTTACTATCTGAAGGGCTTAGAGAGGAGCTAGGAGGGGGTTTTTTTTGTTGTTTTAAATCAGTGACCCATGATGACACCATATGGTTTTATTTCATTTAATTTGAGCAGAGCATTAGCGTTCAGCTTCTATCAGATCTCTACCCATTCCAGTTCTGCTGTGCTACATGGTACAAGTGCAGACATAAGGAAGAGGGGTAGAAGGAAAGAAAGGGGAAGATGTCTGCTTTCTGAGAGTAGATGTGCCAGGCAGGAGGCTGCCCTGCCACCTCATTCTGCTGAGCAGTAACCTGCAACTTCATGCCCCTGGTACTGATGATTGACAGTGGTCAGCCCCAGGTGTATAGGTTACCTAGCCTGACCTCCTAGAATGAATTGCTGCATGAGGCTGTAAGAACCATTTGCCCACCTGGGAAACAGGTGTGTTTAAATATTTGCTATTTATTTATTTAGTGCTATTTAAAGCTGTGGCTACAGAAGCACCAGGACCTAGGCTGGCTGGCTTTAAGGTGGATAAAGCGTGTCTACATGAGCTGTGCTCAAAGAATGAGTAGCATAGGAATGTCCTCAGGTAGGTGTTTCTACTTTTATTACACTCAGTTTGTGTCTGGAAGGCTTTCTTCCAGAAATTCATTAAAATCCAAATATTTAGAAGATATCATACAGTTACCAAAATATTGTAAGCAAACTTGATACTGGGTTTTTGAGATCCTGGTTTTAAGGTGAGTTAAAGAAATCTTAAATGACAAAATGAGTTATACTGGTCTTGGATGTAGAAACATAGGCCTGGGAGGAACCACCTGGGTCACTGAGTCCAAATTTTAATGCCATAGCAACCATGGAACAGACATTCAACTCAGAGTATCTATCAAAGTATCCATCAAAGCAGCTAGAGATCTACCTTTCCCCCTCAACAAATTCATAATCTCTGCTACAGAAAACCAAAAGCTATAAAACCAACAAGCCACAGGAAGAGAACAGGAGAAAAGCATCACTAGTAGCTAAAGTCCCTTTCACTAGCAAGACATTTCTGCCATGAAAAGGCCCATATATTTTTGACCTCTTAGGAATTAAGAATTTTTTCTGGTTACACCTACACTGCAGTGATGTGTAGTTTAGAGTGTCAACTCTGCAGTTCAGAGTTACCTCTGCACTGGCCAGGTTGTGTCCTGCCAGCAGTGCTGCTGCAGCAGCATGGAGCTGGCATAGGGCACAGCCCCACGAGCTGCCAGCACACAGCGACTGCCA